ACAGCACAGTAAAGATACTCAGTAACATGGTAGAGTTTAGTCTGAAACCCAAGACCCTAGAGAAAAGACGGTAACAATTACTATAGCAAGACACACACACAGCTAGCATTTTAGTGAAATTTTGTTTGGCCAACATTAGCAATAAAATGACGATAACAGTTACTACACACAATTAGCACCTCGGTGGTGTTTCTGTTCAAATCATATTACCTAAACAATGACGAAAGTTATTAGTAGAGCATAGTAAAGACAGTCACGAAGGCATGAAAAACATTTCAACACTTTGCAGAGTTTTGTGTGAAATCATAGTTAACACTAAAACGACGCTAATAGTTTCTATATCATGGTAAGTTCATTCAGCACCTTGGTAAGATTTGTTAGAATTTAAAGTTATCTCTAATATGACAGAAATAATTAGAACAGCATGTTAAAGACTCAGCATCTTGGTAAGTATGGTGTGAAATCAACGTTATCACTAAAATGACGGCAATAGCAGCTACGACCAATGAAAAAGAACCTTAGTAGGTTTTGTTTGAAGTCATAGTTATCATAAAAGTGACAGTAACAGTTACCATAACATGGTGTACTGCGTTAGCACTCTGTTAGAGATGTGTTTTATATCAAAGATATAACTAAAATGACAGTAATAATCACTACAGCATCTTAATGTGCGTTTTGGTTGAAATGAAAAATATCACCAAAATGCTGGTAATAGCTATTACAGAATGGTAACAAGAGTGAACACCTGTAAAGGACTTTTCTTTGGAATCAGTATTATCCCTAAAATTACAGCAGTAGCTATTAAACTTTTGTAAAGACTCAGCACCTTAAAAAACAATAGTTACTGTAGCCCAGTAAAGAGAGTTAGTAGCGTGATAAAGTCAATAGTTAATGTTGCCCAGTAAAGAAAGTTAGTAGTGTGGTAAAGATGTCAATAGTTACTGTTGCTTAGTAAAGAGATTCAGTGGCGTGATAAAGAAGTAAATAGTTACTGTTACTCTGTAAAGAGAGTTAGTAGCGTGATAAAGAAGTCAATAGTTACTGTTGCCCAGTAAAGAGAGTTAGTAGTGTGGTAAAAGAGCCAATAATTAGTGTAACTCAGTAAATAGTGCATCTAAAATTTTCAATAACTTGTTCGTTCAGTATAACTATATATATATATAACGTGAATGGATATAGTGTATTCCCACCGTTATATATGGATGTATATATATATATATTTATATTATAACTAAAAATAATGGATTGACAGCTTGTTTACTATACGTAAATAAAAGGTAAATAAAAACTGGAAATTCAAAAACCTGCAAATAAGGATCGTAATATCAGTAAGCAAACTTGGCTGGAAATACTGAAGTCATTATTTGCTCAAACTACAAATCCCTATTTTGGCTCCATGCTGTTACCTAGAATTACATTTTGGGAAATCAAAATAGGGATTTGTAGTTTGAGTAAATAATGTTTACAGTATCTCCAGCCTTGTTTCCTTACTTTTTTATGATCTTTATCTACAGTATTTTTAAATTCCCAATTTGTTACTTATCATGTTTGCTGG